ATTAGGGTGAAACTTGATGGATCACAGTTAATCAAAGTTCATCTTGACAAGAATCAGCAGACAAATATTGAACATAAGGTTTGTAGAACTATTGACAGGATTTGTGGTATAAACTTTACCATCTGTTTGATATTATAAAAGTTCTTGAGGGGGTGGGGGGCATGTGTTATGTGTGCAGGTAACCACATTATAGAAATTATAAAAAGTTATTTTGTCCCTGGATTTTATTAATTCCCGTCTTCTATTCTCAAATCAATCAGGGATGCTTGTAGAGTATGTATAAAGGCACTCAGAGTGGACTTATATTAAATTTAGGCCATACATTTCACTGTGGACTTTTAAGTGATGTTTGATTTACCCTGTCCATACAGGGCAATAAATGACCAAGTCTGGAAGCAGTGTTGTAATTGTATTAACTGTAATGTTAACAGAGGATTTTTCAGGTCTTGATTTTAAAAAGCAAGTCATTGAATTTGATATTGTTAGCTGTTTGTGCGTCCCATTGAAAAATATTGTAGTAGGTGTATTTCTGATTTCAGGTGGATACATTTGCATCTGTGTACAAGAAACTAACAGGGCGTGAGGTAACGTTTGAATTCCCTGAACCGTACTTGTAAAAAGAATGAAAAATACAGACTTTGTATGGTGTTGCTAAAAGTAATAAGTTTCAAAATTCCTTTCCTACAAATGTCTTTTCCTTTATTTTCCATCTACATGGATGTTTCTGGTGGCATAAGAGGGGTCTCATATTTGAGAAATTGCTAATTCCAACCCCTGCACATTTCATTGCTTGAATGTGTGTGTGTGGGGAGCAAAAATCTCTGAAACAACAGTAAATTTCTACTAGACTACATGCTGCAACATCCCAGAAGACAGTCATTTCCCATGTCATTTGTTTGGTGTATGTGTGAGCTAATGAGCTCCATACTTGTCCCAGAGGAAATTAATAGGAAACCATCCAAATCCCATTTACCTATGAAGACAGACTAGTGAGGGCAATTTCCTAGAGTTCACTCCAGGTTAAAGGCATGGAGGGCAAAGCAAGCTCAACATTAAGTCTGTGGTGACAGTGGTAAGGTCATACTTCACCTGATACATCACTTCATATCAGTGACCTATTGTGTCTTTTCTGAACCTGCCAAACTTTAGAGACTTGGTTGACTCCTTTGGGATGAAAACAGTTTTAACAGTACATTATTCTGTAGAGGATTTTCAGGTATTAAAACATAATTCTAATACTGTTTGTCACTCAGGTGGAAGAACAGTACTTCAACATTTAGTGTGTGATAAAGTACAAATCAGTATCAGAGAAGAAAGACATAAAATCAACCACTATACAAACGTGAATGGTTACATGTTCAACAGAAAAATATCCAAATTCAGACTTGAATTTGAGGGAGTAAGCTGACCACCTACAATAATTATTCTTTGAACTTCCCTCTCCCCAACAGCATCTGGTGAAATGGAGGTTACAGCTAATTATAGAGATGCCCAGAATGACTCTGCAGAAAACATTTTTACATATGCAAAACACTGCTATTCATTATACAGAGGTATAATTCAATCTGAGCTGCCACATGTGATAAAACTTGAAAGCGAGGCTGGTTTTGAATGACCTTCAATCAGCCCCACATTAATATAACTACTGGTTTTTCACTGTTATCCATTCTAACACTAAGTATACACTTCTTGATGATGAAAACTAACATGGTATTAGAACCAGCAGTCGATAAATTCCCCATGGAAGGTAAAAATGTACAACATAACAGTGAAATGTCCTATTTGTATAACAGTTTACATAAGTTGTATTTGACTATTCATAGGAACATAGTTTCACAATTTAGTAATATGGAATATGAATACCTATTTTGTCACAGTTTTTAATGTATAATACAAGAAATTCCACTGCAAAACAAAATGTGGCATACTCTAAACCAGCATTTCTCAACATATGGTATGCGAAAAAAGTAAGAAAATCAAATGATAATAATAACATAAATATGTTTTCCCTGAACACATTTGGTTAGAGGTACATTTGATGTGTTCAATTAGAATTAGTGGTATGCCAGTGAAAAAGGGTGAGAACCCCTGCTCTGAACCATTAATGGCAGACAAAGTCCACCATCTAGTAGCCCTGTAGCAGAAGGATTTAAATCCCTTTTTCCGTATGAAAAAGTTAATGCTTCTTGCATAAATTCGCAAATATATGTATATAAAAACATTAACTACAAATACATTAGTTATGTTGGCCCTCTAAAATCAGAATATTGAACTGTTATGCATTTACACATCCAAGATTCTTATGTACAGTACTATGGATTGTTGAATATATGGTCTATCTTTAAGATGCCCCCATTAATTTTATATATTCTCAGTTTCTATTAGCAGCACATATAGATACAACACAAATACAACAAAGTATACCAACAGTGAATCTGTCTAACCCCATTAATTATAAATTCTAATTCTACTTTGATACTTTATTGCATTTAGGAAATGCTAATGGATTACAGGAGAAATGGGAATGGAACTAATGCTTGTCTCCAGTCAAGTTACTTTCAGATATATCCTATTAAATGGAAGCTCATATTATTTTGATTGTAAAACATTTTAAACAAGTTTACAGTCAATGGCTAAAGGAAATAAGGAAAGGGAGTATTTTATTTCTATCAAACAACACTTTAATGTCCTTCATACAGTCCAAAAATATAGAAGGGAATGATCTGCAAGCTGTAGCTACTACATCTCTGTCACTCAGTGTGTTTTATCAAAACAATATTTTCACTGCAGGATTCATCAAACTTCCAGGCTCCACACTATGTGAGGCATTAAACTGAATTCAATGTGAATCTGGCTTTAATATAAAAACACCTTTCTCAAAATTATGCAATTTCATAATGCAAGACATCTGTAGGAATATAACTTAATACCAGGATGGCCAAACTTCATGTATTCCAAAATTATGAATCAACTGTCTCAATTTTTCCCCCAAATTCGAAACAAAGGGGGAAAAAAAGCATTTAGTTCTTTGGTGTTTTGTGAAGCAGGCAAGTCACTTTCTCAATACTAATATAAACAAAACAAACCTTTAAGCATATGTTAGTACTTCATCTAGATATATAATACACTTCCCACATTTCATGAAACTTGAAGTGACCAGGCTTTGTAAGATGGTAAATTGTATCATTACTTAAGTTAAAACAGTAATCCCTTTTTAGCCACAATAAAAACTAAAGAAGTTTATGATGACTTCTGAGAATTACATATATCTGTAGGGTTCAAAATTACCACTGGAGTAGGTTCCTCCTCTTGGGGTATCCATGCTGTCTGTGTTGGGAGATCAATACCACTCTGAGGAATGTGATGATGACATGGGGCACTCATTGTATGAGCATCTGTAACACGTGATGAAAATACATATTTTATTATGAGACAATATGAATTGTGTATACAAGAATTTCATTCATAATTCAAATTTATTCATGCATATTATTTCTAGGTATGAAATTCCACACACTTTTACTCACTGAAACTACTAATCTGTTTTATATTTTTTCATTTATGAATTTTCCCACAATTTAAACCTGAAGGAAAATGTTAGGCTCTTTATCAATTTTGTATGAGACCAACACCCCACCCCTCTCCCCCACTCTATACCAAGTCTTTTGTACGATAAATTGAGAAATGTGATGGTGTATGATTTCAGTCTCATTTAACATAGTAGTAAAACTAAATTCATTCAAACATTTTGAATATAAATTAATTCTGAAGTGTGCTGATGGTGGTGTAACTGAATCTGGATTGTCAGGTTTTTGGACCTTATCCATTGTCTAATGTTATTTAAGTACACAACATTGTGTATTTTATAATATTGGTTGATGGACAAGGTCCAAAAACCCAGCAATCCAGATTTTGAATATATTCTTTCTACACCACAATTTATTGAACTCTCTTAAGTGGTTATGAAGATGAAACATGGATGGGCATGGTCTCATTTTTATGCATTAACTTCACTGGGGGAAGGAAAAGAAAGAAAAAAGTTCCTGTCTACCTTGATCTGAATCAACTGTTGCACTCTGTACAGGAACTGTCGCACCTCCAACAGTGTGAGCAGCTGCCTCTTTTGTAGCAGATAAGATTCTTATGTAATTATATGGAATATACCCCACTCTGGTGCCATCAAGTGTAGCAAGCAGCCAACCCCTTGCACCTTGAGGCTGCAGTTCTTTGGGTGCTAGTGTCATAGTCTGTCCAGCATTAAAGCCGAGTTCCTTTTCCGAGGCAGCTGTGAAGTCATATAAGGCAACTGCCGGGCAGCTGACATCTTTGCTTTCCTTCCATTCTCTTGTGTTGTATGCTGTAGACAAGTAAAAAATGCTCTATGTGACATAAAATTAGATATACACTTGTAATATGAACAATGTAGTTAATGAATAAGGATTTATATATAAGCCTGTGAACACAATTCAATTTACATCATAAATCATTCAGTATTTGAATGTTTCCACATGATGACCAGAAAGTGGTAGAAATGTAGAACCCAATGTTCTGATGTAAACTTATAAGTGTCCTGCACAAAGCAAATATTCAGCAACACTGAAGTTGTGTGACTGTCACAAGGAAACATAATACCACTTCCTCTTATTTGCTGCTCATTCACAGCAACTCGTGGCAACCAATGCACTGATTGTGCATAACAGAAAAGCTATTTGCAGCATTTTGTACATTACTTGGTAATTCCTAATATTTAACCACCTTGGGGAAACAAGATTTTTGTGCTTACAAAATAATGGTCTTTATTAATTTCAGTTCTTCTGCTTGCATTCATGTCTTCAGTAAACACAATATAATAATTATTAATTTTCTCAATACTGTTTTGTAATTCTTCATTAAAAGTACTACTTCTTTTCTATGTCCTTGTGATGCACAGAGTACAGTTATTGTTCAGTAATATCTATTACTGTTTAATCTTGTTTCTAAGATTCTCTCACTAACAACACTTATAATTTATTTTGATGGAAACTTTTATGTACACAATTAATTAATTCTGATATTATCAGTATAATTCATTTTATATTTCATACCTTTCAGTTTCTATTTGTTTTTTATACAGGCAGCATGATTTATTCTCATTTAAAATTTTGTGTTCTTTGTATTCTAAACCTATGGCATCAAAAATTGTATTTTAATTTTAAACCTTTCTTCATCTCCAGATATAAGGATTAGCTCTATTGACTGTGCCCAACATAGTATGTTTTACCTGAGGATGGAGACAGATTCCAGTCTCTGAAACATTGTGTTTTAATTAATGCAATAGATAATGTCCAGAAAGTTTTTATTTTAATTGCTTATAGCAGTTATCATTGAATGTCAATACCACAGCTTGACACAAAAGTACAAAAAATAAAGGCAATAAAACCATTAATAAGTACTTCGGTTGATATTTAAATAATTTCAGATCTCAGTATTTATAAGATGTTTTTTTATTCCATTCTAAGCAACAAGCCAAGACTTGCACATTTTCTTTCAAGAGTTATAATTAAGAACATTATTTTACTTACGATTGATAGACTGAAAAGTGCTCAGAGAACTTATCAGTTTCCATGCAAGATATGGCCCAATGAACAAAATGCCAACGAACATAACGATTGGCCATGATGCTCGAGTATCTTTTGAATTCATCCCAGTAGGCAGTTCAGATGTACCAGCTACTGCCTGACGCCAAATTGCTTCACGTCCAGGATTCTCTTGTCTCAAGCCTGCAAGTCACAATTCCAGACATCAGAACAAAAACAAACACAAGAAAATACACTTATTTCAACTGAAAAATTTACAGTGTAATAAAAATTTCTTCCCAGTAACAATTCTGATTGTATTTCCCGTGGCGTAATAGCTCCAGAGAGCCAAAGCCGACTAGCTGACTGCTGGCCTTGCGTTCACATGCCTAAGCAGAGGTGAACAATCATCCAACCAGATATAGGATGACGTGTGATCAGCACGACGGATCCCCCAGTCATTTCTAGTTTTCATAACCGGATTACACTACCCATTGTAGCTCCCCAATTTCCTCACGATGCTCGGTTGGCACTGGTCCCATACACTGGTCGAAAATCTCATGAGAAATTTCTTTCCCCGAGACTTGAACCAGCACGCATTCAGTATCACCGGTCCGAAGCATAATGTCTCAGACCGCGTGGCTACAGCGCGGGACCTGATTGCATTTACTCACTGTTAATGAACTTTGATCAAATCCATGACAGTTCACACAGCCTATTACAGTGCACAGAAAGTAATATTTTTATAATGGAACTATAAACTCTTGCCTGTAGGTTTTTGCAGCTGGAGTTCAGAGTATAACTTCAACTTTCAGGTGAGTGCTGCATCAAATGTTTGGTGTTAACCAGTGTTTTGACAACCATTGTGGTTGCCATTTTCAAGGTCTGTATGCGGTGGGGTAAGTTCAGAAAGTCTTATACAGGGCAGGCAGTGAGTGATGAGATAAATTTGATAGTGACAGAGATTGGTGGAGTGGGCTGCTTACTGCCTGCCCTATATAAGGCATGCTGAACTGATTCTACCTGATATCTACCTCGGAAATGACAACTATAATGTTTGCAGAAAAGATGGCTAACATTGAACATTCTACACAGCTCTCACCTTAAAGACAAAGTTATACATGAAACTATAAAATCACAAAGCTAAAGGTTCAAACAACTAAATATACTAATGAAGTATAGTAACTGGCTAGTAGGATGCAATAGACTATTTTCATGATCTTCCTCAGCTCCCTCACATGATGACAGGACACAACTGATTCCATCACTTCCCCTTCCAATGAATTATTATAAACCATCCCTACAGCTATTTTTAGTAGTACCCTAAAATTTATTTACTAATGTACAATATCCAAAGATAAGTAAAAGAGTTTATAATACTTCAAATTTATTTAATTATTTTGAACTTTTTATTGTAAATATGTTACAAACCAATAATAGTATAACTATATATTGTTCTGGCATATGAGTAGGTGCCACACATTACTCAAAAGGGTGAAGAGTAATAATTGAATTCAAATATCTCACCACAGATAACAGAGAATTGGCACCAATGATTTTGCTAAGGCCTGATAGTCTTAATCTGTTGAAACACAATCTATGATCAATTACTTACAGTGTATATATTTATTCTCACCTATTAAATACAGCAACTTTTTATACAACCACTGAAGGGTTCGTAACACGGCAAATGTTGAAAAAAACTGTCCAAACATGGTCCTCAATCGACCAAAGTTCTCTGCAACACCCAATACTGCTTGAAATGAGCTATAGACTGCATTGAATGTTGATTCCATCATGAAGCTAACAGAGCCAAATGCATGGACAAGTGACTCAATTGACTGGAATGCTGGACGAGAACTTTCTTCAACCATCTGAATAAATCTGGAAATGTTGGTCAACACAGTAACAAATTGGAAACAATGCAAATATTTGTAACACAGATTGGCACAACTTTGAAACATGGTGATCATGTATCTGAGTCTCCTTTCTAACCTCACATACCAACTTTTGCCTGCAAAAGACTGAGGCAGTTCTGATATTTTGTTATACTTACTAGATCTAACTACTCAAACCTAAACTGGCACTGAATTCACGTTTGTTAGAGAAAAATAAAACCAGACAAACAGAAAAGTGTATGTCAAAACATTATGCCAACAAAAGAGACAAAAATATGAAATACATATTAAAGATACACTTTCTATCATGTTACTCTACATTAAATTAACATACCTGCTTTCTGGATCATTTTCTGGGAAATTATGTCCAAAACGGTTCGTCCCATAACCTCCATATGAACCATACCCTCCATAAGTACTCCCATAACCACCAATTCCTGAATAACCACCATAACTGGTTCCATAACTTCCATATGATGCATATGGCAAATAGTGAGTGTTATTTGGAATATAATTCTGTCTGAGTATTGGCCCTTGAGGGCGTGGAGGAGGAACTGGCACAGTTCGAACTCTTCTCACATTCAATGGTGTACAAGATGGTACATTTAGTACAGTAGGAACTGTTGGTGAACTTTGTAACCTACTGTAATTCCTGTAAAGGAATTAATCATTTTTGTGTAATAAAATTTCTCAATTAAAATTGTTGAAAAAAATTGTAAGACTATGCAATTAAACTTGTGTATTATGCACATATTCATACTATGACATTGTTCCACAGCCTTGGCTTGTACTATGAACGACCTGTGGCAAACAAATAAATTATAATTCTAAAAAACATAGATGGAACGTCAAGCAACTTAAAGGAATATTTTATCTATTAACAAATTAACCATTGATTTATATCTACACAAAAACTGTACTTACGTGACATTTTGTATACTTGGAGTAGCTGCCATACGAGTATTTATACCTGTCACTTCCCAAGGTTTCGTAGGAGCCGTCATTTTTATACAGATAGTGACTTACAAAGCCATTTGACAATTCACATAGAAATTTCAGTTCATATACACACGATCCGAAACAGCAAACTTACTGCAAATACGAATGAACAAGCGTAATTTGCCAAGGTAAACTTCCTTGCCACTTTAAACACTGAACATGCTACACTCTGTCGGTCAGCTCACAAACACACATTTGAAGAAAATTTGGCATATTAAGGGAGCCTGTGATTTATATGTTGGTAATCCGTAGTGAGTAAAGGTTGAAGTGTGGTAATGTGTGATGGTGAAAATGCTTAGGAGTAATTTACTATGAATAATTGATAAAAGTACGCGTTGGTTTGTCCTTGTGACACCCATTAGTAAATTGGACCCTTTCTTAAAAATATATAAAATCATGTATGCAAACAAAACTGTTTACACTTTGAAAAACACTTAGTGCCAAACGCTTTTCGACCTCATGAGGTCATCATCAGTGGCAAAAACTTAATTCGTTAGTCTGTCTATTAAAATTATATAATTCATAAAACGATGGTTTGCTATAAAGCACTGAGCATAAAAAGGTCGCACTTTATAAAACCATACTTCATGTAATACCACACTGAACGTTTAAGTATTATCTAAATCAGGTTTTATCAACATATGGCACGCGTACCACTGGTGGAACGCGAACTAAGTAAGAAAATCAAAAAGATAATATTAACAGAAATAACAGTTTTTCCAGAACGCATTTGGTTAGTGGTACATTTAATGTGTTGAATTAGAATTAGTGGTATGACAGCAAAAAAGGTTGAGAACCCCTAATCAAAGTTGAGTTACTTAACTTAATGTACATTGGCCTAAGTTGAGGTTTCCGTTGTTGGATTACGGTGGGCAGTGGTTGCACTGTCTGTGCCTGGATTGTGAATTTCAATGTTGCATGGCTATTGACAGTAATACCTACACAATGTTGAAGTGTTTTTCAAAGTGTAAACAGTTTTATTTGTATGCATGATTTTATATATTTTTAATATTAAACAATTCATGGTATGCAAGGATTTAAGATTGGTTTGTTTCTACAAATTTAATTTTCTGTTTCAGGTGTATAGTGTGATATAGAAAGATCAAATGACAACTAGAAATTGCTGTGCTTATTAGGAATGGATGAAATTTTATTTCATATATCCCAAATCTTAGAAGGATTACAGGTACAGGAACAATTTTCATAATTCTGTTTAGAATTATCCATGACTTGCATTCATTCATTGAGATGAACATTTTGTGGTTAAAATGTGCAAGATATGAGTTCATTAATAGTTGGTGTGATGGGCATTAAGTACCTGCAAAACTGGAATGTCAGTGGTATGTTATTTTTTATTCTGCATTGCATTAATATGCTTATTGGAGCTTATCTTATGGTCTTGTTTAGAATTCACCTGCTAGCCCAAACACTAAGAATTCTACATACCCAAGGTATCTGTATCATAAATTTGTATAGTATCTTCTTCATCAGCTTTGTAGGAATATATTGATTCATAAAACTAAGTTGCTAATATATTATGCCAGTTTTGTCTTTTGGTTGTTATAATTCTTTGGAGCATTGATCCCTCCCCATTAGAAAGCAGCTTGGGGTAAAGTAGGTAAGGTTACCTTAACATATATGGGTACAAACAGCAATGATCTTATTATCTAAAACACACATTTCTCTCCCTACAGTTCACAGGACACTAGCTTAGTGATCATCATCATCCTTGGCACTTGCAGGTTCAACAATCTGATATTATTATAACAGGAGTTTTGTGATTTTTCCCAGTCTGCCCAGGCATAAGCTGGTGTTGACAGTAGCATACAAATAGGCTGCCACCATCATTTCATTTCTCTTCACTTCCTTTCCTTCCGTTCATGAGCCATTTGCCTCTGGGACATCCCTCATACCCAATTGATGTTTTTTGATCAATGTCCAGAAATTATCTTTCTCTCAACTTTTACCAGTTCTTTCAAATATTTTTTCTTCAATTACCATTCTTACATATCCTCATAAGATACAGTCTTCTTGCCATTAAACTTGCCTTGACATCTATACTCATAATTACTGGACCACCTTCACATCAGTTCTGCAGTTCATCTCCAACCTTGGGCTTAATATTCTTACAGGTAATAAAGTGAAGACATATTTGCTTCATACACCGCAGAAATCTGCTACACAATTTGAATGCAAAGACACCTATCCTGTTGCATCTTCCCATCTTTGTCCTATCACCACTAAAGTTGTGCAGGTATAATTTCTTAATTCCTCTTACAGTTCCAGCTACTACATCCTTTATTACAAGGTCTGTCATATTAAATTGATCTGCTAATAGAGATCTAATTCACAGTTCTTTCTACATGAGACAACAAACTGCCATGAATATCCTCCCCCACCCTGAAATAAGCCCCATCCTCCACTTCCTTCTGTCCCATCCTGACCTCTAAAAATGCCATGTTCAATAGTGTTATGATTGACATCCAAAGCAACTTGTGCATTTCTCATATCGATCTTACACAAGCATGAACATTTTCATTTCCTACACTTCCAATTGTGGAACCTTGTGCATTCTTGTCACTTTCCAAGCCTTTTCCTGTCACATCACTCCTAAGTACATTCAGTAACAGCTGTTGCTACAACAGTTAAAAAGAATTAAAGGAGCACTATGCAGTCAGTTTTGAAGCTGAGCCTTGTGCAACCAGTAATCAGTAACAGCTACCAATACAAGCAGAAAACTAACAAATCCATTTAGCACCAGTTACTAGCAACGGCTACATTTTTGCTGGCCACAGCACACAGGATCACATCCTTCATTCCCTCTACCTTGCCACCATGATAATTCACCATTCTACTGCATCTTCAAAAGTACATTTGTATCTGTACAATATAGAACTCTCACTAAGCCTGGCAGAAGTAGTGTAATGGACAGAGTACAAAACATGTATAAAAGCTGTCACATTATAAACCACTTCACAAATAACCCAAAGCTGAATTCAAGAAAGAGAGTAGATGCAATGCTGCACACAGCCTCTCACCCATAAGAAACAGGTTACAACAGCTATGCACTTCTCTCATGATCACCCACAGTGCAGGGACAATCACCCAGTGCTCCAAACATTCCCATTGTTTCCCTTCCAGTCTCTTTGTCTCTGTATACAATGGACATTCATACAAGACACAGTTACCCATTCAGCATCAAGGGGGAAGGGGCTGGCCATGAGGCAGTATGAACCATCACAAAGTGGCATGCATGTGTTCTAGTCCTCATGCCTTGCCTGACTTTCTTCGGGAATTATGAGTCCCTTCTGTAAGCAGCTATGTGAAAGCTAGGTATCATATTACATGATGCTGTCATTTTTAATACAGTGAAAGGATCATTCAGCCCTTCCATGTGTAGCCTGCATTAGCACTGTGCTTCCTGTACCACATCCCTTCCAGTATTCTTCAAGCAAACTGCAGTTCTTTAACAGCTTTTATTACTCTGTGCATCAGTTTGGATGAATAACCATTTTTGTAATTCAGAAAAAGTTGACAGTGGAACCACGGTTCCGGAGAATCTGACGTAAATACGTCTCTGTAATGTAATGAAATGTAATGCAATAATTCTTATATAAGATAAGTACTTGTGATATTCTAAAACGTTTTTACCAGCACAAAATTATCTAGTCTACGATGCACTTCTCCTACAAGCAATTCACAGCACAGCTCTTTCCGCAGTAATGAAAGCGGATTGTTGACGGCAGTAATGTAACACAACAATGCCGAGTAAACATGACGCAACACAGTTTCTTAGGTAAGATAACAATGCACGCAGGAGTTCATATAAAAGCTGACCATTGTTGTCGGTCCATATTTACACATTGTTGATATGGATCTTACACATCTTCGTTACGCTTTTTTGCCGAATGACCCTTCTCTATAGACGTATTTACATCAAAAAATGTCAGTTCATACATCATATCTATAACATACAGAACTTGTACAGTATGTGATCAATTTATAACCTGTGAGTTGGTGCCCATTTCAATTATGGGCCAGTTTGTGTTTGGTTCCAAAAATGCTATGCACTCTTAGTGCGAACACACACGCACAGTATAGTTTAATTTAATTTAATGTTTTTAGTATTTTTTGCATGTAGCATGCTGACTGGTTGCACTAAATAGACAGAATGGCCCTGAAATGTCTGACCACACTTTTGGATCATGTTCATATTACTCTAAGAATGAAAAAATGTCATATAGACATAGGTCCAGAAATGCATCCTGTCCGAATTATAGCCCTTCAAATCTGCACATCAGAGAAATGTTTTCGACTTGACCCCCTTGAGCAAACCTACTAGCCTGACAGCGTCGCCTCATGGACTGCCGAACACATAAACACAATCCATGTTACGTAAACTCATCCCGATTAGACGATAGTAGACAGCGATAGTACTGTTGTTCGCTTGG